CAACCCTGCATGCCCGAATTAAAAACACAAGGAAATGTTCAGGCAGAATATATGAGCTGTACTTTGCCATACAACTAAAATGTGCAGTGGTTTATACTACTACTAGTTCCAAAAGGGACAAAAAAGCACCATAAAAGTAGTCCAAACGTCTCATGTGCTATACTCAAAGTCATCTGAAGCCATTTGATGGATTTGCAGGAGAAACTGACAAATAATCAAGTTATTGTTCTTTGATAAACTTCTACTTTGCTGTAGCTCAGATGTCAGTTGAAATGGCTTTAAACCTGGTGCAACGTGTTGAAAGGCACCATTTGTATTTAAATGCAAATGTAAATTAGTTTTTGGAGGAAACTTGAGATGTGACAAGATATATGACAAGATAAGACTTGTTCTCAGAAAGATTATATTTTTAATACATGCATACTTATCTTACTTTACTGATAGATTCACTTTTTATGCTTAAATCAAGTGGAAAAATACACTTGCATTAAGAGGTACTACCTCTCTGAAAACAAGTCGTCATATCTTGCTTCTCAAGTACATTTATCTTGACTGAAAACAAGGCAAAAAAGACTTAAAGTCATTGAGTCATCATTTTTTTGGGTGAATTATTCCTTGAATTTAATGCAAATAAAAAAAAAACAAGTTGTGAATGATAATAATACAGTTCATTTCATTTCTCAGATGTCAGATTTTCACAACCCAGAGTTTGTGCATTGAACATTTGTGTAAAGACATATTTTGAATGTTTTCAGGTACCAAACAGTTTCCTCGCAGCTTTTGCTTCAAATTAAATATGGCACCCTTTAACTAACATCTATTAAACTCCTGCAATATGTGCATGAGTGAACAACAGGAGAAGTGTGTTTTTGTGATTTATTACGACTTCACACCTCGCAAACCACAGATTCACACGCAGGAATGTGCTCAGGTGTGCTGGAATTCAAGAATCAACACTTCACATTCTAGAAATAACATCCGTGAACAAAAGAAAACCAAACCACAGTAACCCGAGAAGTCTGTTATTGGAGACGCAAAACTTCAACAAGTCAAAGCCATCGAGTACAACAACAAAAACACCCTTTAAATATTTATCTTGAGCTCTCTTGTTTAAATGGAGGCCTAATCAAATTTAAAATCCCTATTTCGCATCACATAATGAAGCAGACAGCCGTAATTACCACACCGTTTCTCTGTACACACCTCGTAAATGTTGTTTCGCACTGCTGATTTTCCTCCGTCTCTTTTTGTTTGTATTATTTGTGGTTGGTCTTTTATAAGTGATGATTAGATTTTGTTTGGAATACTCAAGCATGATATTAACAATATATGGATGACTTTTCATGCTGGATGTTTTAAATGATTTAAAACTTGCACGTTTGCCCTAAATCAGTTGAATACCAGGGGAAGGTTTAAACAGAACAGGCAGTGTGCTGTAGTCTAGGACAAAACGAGACTTTGTGTAGCCTTTTCTTTTTTAGAAAGAAAGTGCCAGAGCTGTAATGCAGTCCAGACGCTCTCCTTTTTTCTTCTCATCCCTCTGTCCTGCGTCGCTACTGACCAGCTTCAAACTTCTCCATTTCTAACAACAATAAATGGCTGCCACTCAGACAGTCCTGATCTTCCATTCCAGCCCACCCAAAATCTCAGACCTGGCTGTGAACTTGACCCTTACAGCGCGACAGAGTCTTCCACAGACCCACGCTGAGATTGAGGTGCTGATGTTTGACGTGGTTGTATAAGTGAGATATTTAGACCTCGCTCTCTAGAGAGAATGAGGTACAGATGGGTGACAGAAACGAGGTGAAGTGTGTTTATTCGTACGTGCATGTGTTAGCGGGAACGTTTTTGCCATTTTTTCACATGCACTGCTGGAAAATTCAACTAGAAGCTACTTCATGTGGTTTATATGGTTTCTAGCCACTCATTTATAGCATTAGTTAGTACGAATTCATCTTGATAATTGATCAGCTTGATTACCAGCTGGTTGACCTGGTAGACCACCTTGGAGCAGCAACAAACCAGATAAAAAACACATTTTCGAGGACTATAAACCATATTGACCATCGTAATGGGTATAATTTCAGGCAAAGATGGTCTATGCCTGTGATATATGGTCATCAGCTAGTCCAGATTGGCCAAGAAGGATTATCAGTAGGGCTACAACTAGTTTCCACCTAGTAGACCATCTTAGTCAAGTTGGTTAGAACTTGTAGACCACATTTGACTAGCAACAAACCAGTTTGACTACTATTTCTGTTTTAGTTACAATTAAAAGGCAAAGATTCAAGCTGGTCTAGATGATTGATCAACTGGTCTAAAAGCTGATGGACTTGGTTTCCCCCTGCAGATTATCTTAGATAAGAAGACTTGGTGGGCCATCTTGGACTACTTACCAACCAGCTTGACCAGCTAAAACCGGTATAGCCTGGTTTTCTAAATCGAAGGCAAAGCTCTGCTGGAAAACAGTGTGATGTTTGAAGGACAGCGTGTTTAGCTGTTTTCTCCACTAAATGATGGAGAAGAAAAGAATGTTCAAACAAAACAAACTGATGTGTCGGACAAAGAAATTTTAAAACACGTTTGAGAGACAAGATTGTTCTGTACCTGTTCTCCAAAGAACTGTAGAAGAACTGGAATGCAGGGAAGCATTTCTCTCCCTCTTTCCTCTCTCCGGGATGGAGTTTGATCTAAAATTAGGTTTATTGAAGGGTTTGAGATCTTGGCCAAATGGGCTCTGAGGGGAACACCACCAAAAACGTGTATTTTACCCCACCCAAATGTGATTTTTACCGGGGGATCCCCCTCGAAACGTGATTGGGCTAGTTTTGGGCTAGTTTTGAGTAGCAATTGGACGGGTTTTGTTGTGAAAACCTGGCAACCCTGCCGCATAGAGAAGTTCAAAGCACAAAGGGAAGAGACATTGATGCGTAGTGCATTATATCTGTGCGATAGTTTATTGAGCCTTTTCTTTTAACAGTTTTAAATTTCAGTTACTGTGCGCTTGAAGAACAATTCATAGTGCTCTCTACTCCAGAGTAGTGATCTAACAGACACCCGGTAGAAAGTAACATGCTTTAGAATTAGCACTAAACTCCAGCAAGATAAAGTAATTTCATGCAAAACTACTGAGGTTTATCTACAGATCAAGTATAATAATAGGGACATTGTATCATCCTAGAGAGAGTTTCATTGTTTTGACTGTCGTAACCGAACGCGACGCGCAGTTTGAATGCTGAATGGAGGATGACAAGACAGCCGCAGCGGAGAGAAGAGTTTACATGAACTTGAATTTAATGACTTAAATATTCATCTGTACCTCACACTAAACTATGGAACGGTCTCAGAACACTTGAACTATAGTGCACGGAAACTTTATAGTGCTTTATAATGTTTTTGTGCCTTTCGTGGGGCTTAACAATAGTATATGCACAATATCGGATTTGGTTCGGTCTCGTCTGACCGATACCACGATCCAGCAGAAAATGCTAGTATCGGAGCGATACCGATACTGAATATCGGATCGGCGCACCCCTACACTGCTCTTTTTTTCATTTAATGAAAGTGAATGGGGACCAAGACTGCTACTGTTTTTGTTTAGTCATATGACTTCATTTTCTCTATCACTAAATCTCTAGACATGCTTAGACCTGAATGGTGAGTCATTTACAGTACATGAAGTAAATATTGACCCACTGACTGGTTAACTACTTTTCTGGGTGACTAGTAAACTTGAACTTGTACACAAAGTACCAGATAAGCTCAGTAATGACGACTCTGTTCCACAAACGGAACTTGTAGTATAAAAGTAGATGAGCCCTTCCGAGCTCCCACAGTTCTTCCCAATAAAACACCTCAGAATTGCATAACCTGTTCACACTGGTGTTTACCTTCTCACTTATTGTCATTCCAGTGCATGATACATCATGGGAACAGCCTCTAGAGATTGTAAGATCTGCGTCCACATGTACGTGCAATGACATAAACTCGCCCTGTGCAGCATTTTGCGAGGGAGGACAGACATTCACACAAAGGTGTTTGTCCTCATGGCTCAGGGGTTAGGCATTGGGGTTTAGGATGCCTTTATTAGATTTTACAAAGGAGGCTTGGAGAGCGACTGGACATGCCTAGGCCCGCAGTGAGTGTTCATTACATGTTTTCAGCATGTAAACCTTCATTACATAAGAGGGGTCTCGTACATTCTTACAGAGTGATTCACATGTTCTGGGACATTACAACACAAAAGCGTTAGCAGCCTCTTAAAATATCTTAAGATGGACCCACACGTAGACCTGCAGCTGTGGACGGAGGAGGTTCGTTTGGAACAGGTGTGGATGCATTAGACACCGGAGGGCATGTTCCCATAGTGACCAGTCAAAATAATGATGGGATATGAGATGCGTGTTCACTGGCAGAACAGAACACCAAATCACATAAGGCTTTACACATGCACACACACTTGAGGCAAATGGCAACTGCTACTCGTGTCTGCTTCAACTTACATTCAGAAGTACACACTCAACCATTCAAAATGAAAATACAGCAAAACAGAAGTGTTAAGTAGTCATTATAGCATTATTCACCTCAGAAAGTCTGAGTTCCCAACTTCCTACTCGGAAAAGTAAAACTATTGGAACCATTTGAAACCCGGAACTCCAATTCCGCAGATCTATGACCTCACATGAACATGGCAGCCTCCATTAAAATGTACACTGCTAAAGTTCCTACTTGCATGTTATCGGTTCAAACATTTTTTGCAGAGACTGGTGTGTAAAAAAAAAAAGCATTGATTGGCACTAATAGCCTAGAGGGCAAGTGTCCCAACGTATAATGCTGTTGCGTTACGGGCATCCTGAGTTCGAATCCCGGCTCGAGGACCTTTTCTGAACCTGCCCTCCCACTTCACTTCCTGTATGCTCTCCACTGTCGTATCATAATAAAGGCAAAACACCAAAAAATAAATCTTTAAAAAAAAGTTTCTAGCATTGCATGTCATTTATTCTCCACAAATTGAGGTGCATTCTTGACAGCAAAGCTAGCGGTAGCACTGCTATTTTTGTCTTCCAGCCACCAGAAAATAGAACAACTTTATGGTCAGAGATATCAAGTAGGAATATCCTTTATATGACATTAAATGCATTATTAGAGCAGCAGTTCCTCCGGAGTAGTCTGGGATTAAGTGTCTTGCTCAAGGCACAACTGTGATCAAACCAGCAACTTTGAACTTTAGCTGCTAAACCACTCCATGGGTATAGCAGGAAAGAATATTTTAGATTGACTCTTCATTTTCAAAGAGATTTTCCTGTTTTGTAAGATTTGGAGTGACTGAATCAACCCTCAGACCCCAAATGACAATTTACCCAAGGCGCATCATAAAACCTCCCGGACATCTGCGTCTGATGGCTTGCAAAACCACCCGACAATCACACCACAGTTATACGGGAGCCAATCTCCTGAGGGCATTTGGGTTCGTCTGCCCCGTTTCCAGTACAGCAGTGTCAGATGCATGTTGAAAGCAGTGGCATGCGGTTTCTGTGCTGTCCCAGCCGTAGCTTTGAAATACCAGCCCCACCGCAGGGTATTTTAGGGCCAGCCACAATCATGCTCGCTCGCTGCCCAGATACTGTCGTTCTCTTGGGGCCTCTGTCTCCTCTGTGCATCCCTAAAATTGCAAAGTGGTGAGCCAATGGCATCATGAGTGTCCGTCAGCAGGCTTTGGCAAGGTGCAGTCTCTAAAGGGTCCACTTGTTGAACGGTCTGGAGGTTCAGGCATATCCTCATGGCGGTTATACAGGTGAAGAAAGGACATATTATTTTTATTCTGAATGTCTTAAATACTACTTCAGACAGTTCTCTGCAATACCTACCCTCTCATTGAGCTTAACTAGTCATTTAGCAGATGCTTTATACCCAAAATGACTTGCAGTACACTTATTACTGGGACAACCCTCCTGGAATGACCTGGGGTCAAGTGTTTGCCCAGGATGACTTATGGAGTGTCCCTTGTGCACTCAAACCAACAACTAGATTTTTGTAGAACTTCATACTAAGTTTGTTTCTACTCACCTATTTTATAGCAATGATCCAGTAAGGTAAATCTTGTGGACTAAACTATCTAATTCTTGGGTGTACCTTGTCTCCTGTCAAGGTAAGCTGTTGTTATGTGATCCATCTAAACTCTTCCTTCTGTTCCTCGCTCTTTCTGCCGGTCGCATTGGTCTGTCGAGACGAGCGCCATTGTGGCACCTCTGATCTTGCGTAAGCTTCAAATCTCTTCATGCATCAGCTCTGATGAAAAGGCAGATCCTCTCCATGTTTTGGATTTTCCACCCTCATCCTTTGATTGGCTGCAAGTCAAGCTTGAGGAGAGCAGACAAGAAGGAAAACTGTTTATGAGGGTCGCAAACAGAGATACTGGATTCTGGTAAATATGACATTTTACACAAACGTTCACAGGTGTTTTTAGAGCATCATTGCTTTAAGATTTCACTTGATATATCCAGAAAGTAGCTGATGTCAGTTGAGGAGATGGGGAAAGGCACTGTGAGGGAGAGATGGAAGGAGAGAGAGTGAGAGACAGTAATCATTACAGGACTTAAAATAGAATAATTAGAGGAGCTGTGTGTACTGTTCCTCTGCCCGCGCTGACCACAAGTACAGCCATTTACTCTTGATGCTTTTCCGGTACCGGCCATTTATCACTGTTTTCTGTTTGTTACTTTCTTTGTCTATTTTTATGTTTGGAAGATGTTGAGGCTAAATGAGGGAAATCCTTTTCAGAGTAGGAAAATATGCTTAATATTGAACTCATTAGGGTTTTTGTGGGTTGTTGCCAGGGTGTTGTTATCGACAAGCAGTGTTGGGAAGGTTACTTTGTAAATGTAATAGGTTACAGATTACAAGTTACCCTATTTAAAATGTTATAGTAGTGTAACCATGTCAATTACTTTATTAAAGTAATGTAACTGATTACATTTGATTAATTTTTATTACTTTTCTAAATTTCTAATGAATGTGTTCAACTGTTATTCATTTTCAAGCATTTAAAGCAGGCAAGGTTAACCTTACGGTAGTACTCAACACTGATTACTGTCAGACTTTCAGAATCCTTCATCACTTGAATTAAGATTATAATAATTTAATTTTAAAGCGCAGCCACCACTAAATCACACTTTAGCACCTCTTTTTACTTTGAGATTGTTCTGAGGTTAAATGCAGATTTAAAATCATAACAAGATATAGTTTAATAGCTATGATACTGTTTGTGAAATCAAATCCTTGCATAGCTATGACAGGAAACACTGGTCTCTAACATTGCCTAAAAAAAAAAAGTGGTTGCTAGGGTTTTGAGAGGCTGTTCTGGGTGGTTGCTAGACCAGGGGTACTCAAGTAAAGTTGCCAAGGGGGCCACATTTAAACCACATAAAATGTGAAGGGCCACAAATTACCATTTGCATCATAAGACTTTATTTAAGTCAATATTTGCAGTTTTACTGATGTATACATGCAGTTTATTACTTATCTAAGTGTTGCTTTTCCTTGTCCTATTTAAAATAATATTGAACATTAAAATAAAACATTAAAAAACGTGGAACAAAAAAATGGATTAATAGTTTGTTTTGCTGTATTAATGCAAAAAAATTCATTCATACTCAGAGTATTAAACAAACTCAGAATGTTCAAACTCAAAACATTCTTGAGCAAATAGTTCATAAATGTCTCTAAATTTTCTCATAAAATTTCCTATTCATGCCCAAAACAGGACAGAGTGCATATTATTGAGTGCTAAACACATGCAATGTCTGTCTCATTCATACTGGATGCCAGAGCCTCGTACAGAAACATATGCATCAAAGAAGTAATAGAACTCAATATGGGCAAAGGCATTCAGCGGTTAAGGCTAGAAGGGATACAGCAAAAACTACTGGGCATGCACATATCAATATAGCGTAATTTTTCTCACTGTACAACAATAATTACTGTTTTTGCATTGTTGTAAGGGGTAGGTGTAGACACGATCTAAACACGATCTAATAGGTAGAAAATTTAATTTATTGTTATCTTACGGTTTTGCTGCATCCCTTCTAGCCACAACTGCATTCAGCTGTTGCTGTAACTGAATAAAAGAAGATAGAATGCTTTAACTGATCAAACATGAAGACAATAAACACACAACACAACAATATATGGTTTATCTGTGTTCTTCCATCTCTGGTATTTTCATAATAATAAAGTTATATTTATAATCTAATGCTAATTGAGGTTTCGCAAGAGTGCAAAACTCAGTGAGCTCATTGACGTGATGACAGCTCCATACATTGTAATAGGAGCGCTTTTTACTTTAACCCATTCACAATTTGAATACGAGTTTGTTTTTCATGCTACTAAGAAGACCCTCTGCCGTGCCAAGTGTCAGGAGCATCAACAGCATTTAAATGATGCAAACATACAGTCACACTGCCTAATATTTGTGCTACTTTTGAGCGAAAATTATAATAAAAATACATCTTTAGCATGATGCGGGCCACAAAATTAATTCAGACGGGCCGCCTGTTGAGTACCTCGGTGCTACAGCATTCCTAGGCATTGCTAGGGTGTTCCTGGGTGGCGTTTTTGGTAATTTGGGTGGTACCGTGTGCTAGGCTGTTGGTAGGGTGTTCTAGGTAGCCGCTAGGTGGCTTAGGCTCGGTAGTCAAAAGAGCCCATCCTCAAATTATGTTCTGGTTTCTTTCAATGTAAGTGTAGCATATGTTTTCACCCTTTTATGTGGAAGGCAAATCATAAGCTAGTTTGGCAGTCAGATGTCATTAAACATGTTGTGTGCATGCATGTATATACAGAAAATGGTCTGTGTGTTTTTAGAACCCACATTTGGTTATCTTGGAATCTGTTGTGCATTAATATAATGTATTTGTGTGTGATTACAGTGGAGATCTGAAAGACGGGAATTAGGCACTTGAACCAACTGAGTGAAAGACAAATTTTTGTTGACATCTTGATGAAAGCATCAAAGTAGTGGAACGGTTCTCATTTGAACAGTGCACTTCCTGAAGTTGGTGTGTAAAATCAAGTGGGAATATACAGATTTTTCAACAAACAGATTGAAAAATGCAATACATCAATCAATCTAAGAGGGGCCATTTTTCCTCTGGGACCCATTTCCTACAACAAGCCACAAAAAAAGGATCTTAGCTTGATGATCGCTAAATACTTCCATTTGATGATTCCTGACTGCTCATGAAAGTGACATGCACTAATTAAAAAAAAAAAGATTGACTGTTTCTCTTTTGTTTCCAGGTCAAATACCAAAGTCCGGAAACAAAGATGGTCAAAATTAGAAAAAAAAATTCAAAAGGGATATTCTCTTGTGGTGCAGTAGTGTTTAATCGTTCCCAGAGTGCTCGTGTTTCACTGACATCCGTACTCTGAATGGTTTAAAGCATTAATTAACGATATCAATGTTTGATCTGAATTGCAGTAAAATGTATTCAAGATGCTGAATTACTTCTTTGTTGTTAGCATTCATATTTTTAGCCCTAAATTCAGATTTCTTTGATTGTGAGGTTATTGATTAATTGATTTCAATTAAATGACCTAGCCAAAACTCTAACTAACCATAAACCTGACTAATCCTAACCCTAAGGCTAGTATTTACTGGGAAATCAGATGGTGCAACAGAGTTATGGAATTGAAAATCAGGTTTTTCATCAGTGTTTTCCTCTATATAGTGGACTTCAGTGGGACCCAACGGGTTGAAGGCCCAAAGTGCAGTTTTCAGTGCAGCTTCAAAGGGCTCTACGGAAGCCCAGCCGAGGAATAAGGGTCTTATCTAGCGAAACGATCAGTCATTTGCTTAAAACAATAAAAATGTATATACTTTTAACCACAAATGCTTGTCTTGCACTAGCTCAACTTCATGCATTACGTAATCACGTTGGAAAGGTAACGTGCGACTTAGGCGGAAATACTGACTCAGTGTTTACAAATCGAATGTGCAAAGAAAGTCAAACGGCCTTTACAAAAAAATACGTTGGAGGAGAAAATGAGATGGAGTTTTTCGCCCTACCCTACCTTTTTGAACCAAAGTACACAGATTACCTCTACAATGTAACAATTAAGATCCTTCATTGAACTTAAAGTACCCTCATTAGCCAAGGACGAAGTTACAATTTCGTAAGTTAAAGAAACTTTAGCATAAACCTAAATAAACGTGAAATTCCACTTCTGGTGTAACAACTAATTTACGCTAGGTCTCAAAGTAGGTGCTAAGTGTGAAGCAAAAAGACCACGTTACAGAGAAACTTACTCCAAACTCTGGATTCTCACAAGAAATTTTTGTCACTTTTTTCTTTCTTGTATGGGTGTGGAATTTGTAGTGTCTACTTTTACAACCACACGTGACCTTTCCAACATGATTGCACAATGCGTGAAGTCACGCATGCGCATTGCAGAGCTAGGGCAAGATGAACATTTGTGATTAAAAAGTATATACATTTTTCTCTTTTTTTTTTAATTCTTTTTTTAAATAATTTATTCCTCGACTGGGATCGTGTAGAGCCCTTTGAAGCTGCATTGAAACTGCAATTTTGACCTTCAACCCATTGGCCACCATTGAAGTCCACTATATAAGGAAAAGTCCTGGAAATTTTTCCTCAAAAACCTTAATTTCTTTTCGACTGAAGAAAGAAAGACATGAACATCTTTGATGACATAGGGGTGAGTAAATTATCAGGAAATTTTTATTCTGAAAGTGAACTAATCCTGTAAGTAGCAAATCCTGGAAAATTAGAGTATTGGCTATTAAAAAAAATGGACAAGGCCTTTGATATGTCCTTACCAAACAGTAGGAAATACTACACCGCAATTTACCTTGTAACTATTTTGAAAACAGCTGAAGTAGTTACCAGCATCGCTACATTTAGTCAAACATTGAGTACATTTACATGGACAACAATACTCCGATTTTAATACGTCACATTATTACCGTCACGTAGGACCTTTTGCTGCATTTTGCGACAGGATACACACACGGCAGTGGTCAACCGTTTGACGGCAAACAAAAGAATGGCTTTAACAACGCCGTCGTCTGTTTGCACGTATAGCAGGGGTAGGCAACGTCGGTCCTGGAGTGCCGCTGTCCTGTAGAGTTTAGCTCCAACCCTAATCAAACACACCTGAACAAGCTAATCAAGGTCTTCAGAATTACTAGGGCTACAGGCAGGTGAGGTTGGAGCTAAACTCTGCAGTACATCGGCACTCCGGACCGACGTTGCCTACCCCTGACATATAGCATGACAAATAATTAACTGCACTTGAAGCTTTCAGTAAATTAAAAATGAAACACCCAAAACGGTACTTGGCATCATAACGAAGACGAACTATATGTTTATACGTGAAATTCTGGAGGGGACGCGAGGGGACGTCGGATGGCGTTGTGTGGTGACGTAATGACATGTGCCATTAATCGATGTATGTACTGTAACATGTAAAATGGGAACATGAAAGGAATATTCTTAATCGTAATATTGTCTTATTCA